TTTAGCTTTCCTGTTTGATTCCTTTCTTCAATACGGGGACTACATTTGGTGTATTCCAGATCTCTGGTAACTGTTCCATATCCACTGACTTATTGTAGATCACAGCTAGTGCTTCTGCACTAGGTGTGATCTATCCATGGTGACACATCAGGTCCCATTGCCTTAGATGTACCAAGGTTCATCAAAAATTTCTTTCCCCATTATGTAGATGGCATCCAGCAGTACTTGTTGGTTCCTTCCCCCCATTTCTTTGTCTGGTATTTTCTCAGGTTTCACTGAGAAGACCTCTTCAACATCTTTGTTATTATATCAACACTTGACAGACTTCCCTGTGAGTGTTTGTGAGGTCTTCCTCAGGTGAATCACCTGATCCTCTCCTGTCTTTCCTCTGATGTAACTGTGAAGTAATTTTTGGTTCAGATTTGGCCTTTGGTATTATGTCATTCTCAAATTGTGTTTCAGCTTTTCTCCTCACCCTAGCATATTCATTTCTGGTCAATCTTCTCACTTCTTTGTTTTTCTCTATCCTTTAACCCTTTGACTGTTTCGGTCGTATATATACGTCTTACGAGCCACTGTTTTTGACGTATATATACTCATAAATTCTAGCAGCTTCAAATCAAGCAGGAGAAAACTGGTAGGCCCACATGTGAGAGAATGGGTCTGTGTGGTCAGTGTGCACCATATAAAAAAATCCTACAAAACGCAATGCATAATGAGAAAAAAAAAAGCCGACTTTTCTTGCCATCACTCTTACAAGTCGTCTGGCTACCGCATCTCGTATTTATGTTTATTTATTCTACTGTGGATTGTATTTCTGATCTTTATATGTTACGTATCGTGTTTATTATATAATTTTGAAAAATATCATAGATGGATTAATGAAAATGTGTATATTAACGTCATATATGACATTTAATGAGACTCGGTGATTATTATTGAATATTATTATTAAAATTTTGGAGTGAGTTAAACAAGTTAAGAAAGCCTAGGGAAAGTATGGGTTTGTCAGTTAAAAACAGAGTAGGGGAGTTAGTAGATGGGGAGATGGAGGTATTAGGTAGATGGTGAGAATATTTTGAGGAACTTTTAAATGTTAAGGAAGAAACAGAGGCAGTAATTTCATGCACTGGTCAGGGAGGTATACCATCTTTTAGGAGTGAAGAAGAGCAGAATGTAAGTGTGGGGGAGGTACGTGAGGCATTACGTAAAATGAAAGGGGGTAAAGCAGCTGGAACTGATGGGATCATGACAGAAATGTTAAAAGCAGGGGGGGATATAGTGTTGGAGTGGTTGGTACTTCTGTTTAATAAATGTATGAAAGAGGGGAAGGTACCTAGGGATTGGCGGAGAGCATGTATAGCCCCTTTATATAAAGGGAAAGGGGACAAAAGAGACTGTAAAAATTATAGAGGAATAAGTTTACTGAGTATAACAGGAAAAGTGTACGGTAGGGTTATAATTGAAAGAATTAGAGGTAAGACAGAATGTAGGATTGTGGTTGAGCAAGGAGGTTTCAGAGTGGGTAGGGGATGTGTAGATCAAGTGTTTACATTGAAGCATATATGTGAACAGTATTTGGATAAAGGTAGGGAAGTTTTTATTGCATTTATGGATTTAGAAAAGGCATATGATAGAGTGGATAGAGGAGCAATGTGGCAGATGTTCCAAGTATATGGAATAGGTGGTAAGTTATTAAATGCTGTAAAGAGTTTTTATGAGGATAGTGAGGCTCAGGTTAGGGTGTGTAGAAGAGAGGGAGACTACTTCCCGGTAAAAGTAGGTCTTAGACAGGGATGTGTAATGTCACCATGGTTGTTTAATATATTTATAGATGGGGTTGTAAAAGAAGTAAATGCTAGGGTGTTCGGGAGAGGGGTGGGATTAAATTTTGGGGAATCAAATTCAAAATGGGAATTGACACAGTTACTTTTTGCTGATGATACTGTGCTTATGGGAGACTAAAGAAAAATTGCAAAGGTTAGTGGATGAGTTTGGGAGTGTGTGTAAAGGTAAAAAGTTGAAAGTGAACATAGAAAAGAGTAAGGTGATGAGGGTATCAAATGATTTAGATAAAGAAAAATTGGATATCAAATTGGGGAGGAGTAGTATGGAAGAAGTGAATGTTTTCAGATACTTGGGAGTTGACGTGTCGGCGGATGGATTTATGAAGGATGAGGTTAATCATAGAATTGATGAGGGAAAAAAGGTGAGTGGTGCGTTGAGGTATATGTGGAGTCAAAAAACGTTATCTATGGAGGCAAAGAAGGGAATGTATGAAAGTATAGTAGTACCAACACTCTTATATGGGTGTGAAGCTTGGGTGGTAAATGCAGCAGCGAGGAGACGGTTGGAGGCAGTGGAGATGTCCTGTTTAAGGGCAATGTGTGGTGTAAATATTATGCAGAAAATTCGGAGTGTGGAAATTAGGAAAAGGTGTGGAGTTAATAAAAGTATTAGTCAGAGGGCAGAAGAGGGTTGTTGAGGTGGTTTGGTCATTTAGAGAGAATGGATCAAAGTAGAATGACATGGAAAGCATATAAATCTATAGGGGAAGGAAGGCGGGGTAGGGGTCGTCCTCGAAAGGGTTGGAGAGAGGGGGTAAAGGAGGTTTTGTGGGCAAGGGGCTTGGACTTCCAGCAAGCGTGCGTGAGCGTGTTTGATAGGAGTGAATGGAGACGAATGGTACTTGGAACCTGACGATCTGTTGGAGTGTGAGCACGGTAATATTTAGTGAAGGGATTCAGGGAAACTGGTTATTTTCATATAGTCGGACTTGAGTCCTGGAAATGGGAAGTACAATGCCTGCACTTTAAAGGAGGGGTTTGGGATATTGGCAGTTTGGAGAGATAGGTTGTGTATCTTTATATGTGTATGCTTCTAAACTCTTGTATTCTGAGCACCTCTGCAAAAACAGTGATAATGTGCGAGTGTGGTGAAAGTGTTGAATGACGATGAAAGTATTTTCTTTTTGGGGATTTTCTTTCTTTTTTTTTGGGTCACCCTGCCTCGGTGGGAGACGGCCGACTTGTTGAAAAAAAAAAATTATTATTATCATTGCTAATATGGCATCACTCATACAAGTCGTCTGGCTACCATATCTCATATTTGTTTGTTCTACTGTGGGGTGCATTTATCTTTATATGTTATGTATCATGTTTATTATAAAATTTTGAAAAAATATCATAAATGGATTAATGAAAATGTGTACATGTATATTAAGATAATATACAACATTTAATGAGAGTGATTATTATTGATTATTATTATTACTAATATGGTGTCTCAAGACATAAGAGACACTTAGTGATTTTAATGCATACCTGCTTGCCAGCACAGTGTGTAAGTTTATTTAGGTACAGGTATACTTAAATATAATTATCAGAGTACATATATGTAAAATATGAAATAACTTTTCAAAACACTTGAAATTTTGAGTTTCCAGACATAATGGAGAGACGTGGTGCTTACAGAACTCACGGTTCTAGAATGTAAACAAACTGAGCGGGGCATGATAACCGTATTAGAAAGTCAGGTGGGAGGAACCGTATAGAGAGTTTTGGTCATAATTTGAAATGTCCGTATTTTAACTCGACGATAAAGGCAGGGTGGCCCAAAGGGGAAAAAAAACATTCAGCGTCTTTCATTCACTATCTTTGATATACAGTGGTCCCTTGCTTTTCGTAGTTCTCAGCAATCATAAATTTCGCCAATCATAGGGGTATTTTCGTATAAACATGGACTCGCTTTTCATAGGTTGACTCGCGAATAGTAGTTCATCCGGGACGCGTACGCACGGTGTGAGCCGGGGCGGCCTCCCTACCCAGCCAGTCTGGCATTGTTTACCAGTGAGTGAAGGTCTCCTCAAGTGCTCCTACGAAATATTTCATAATATTCCACTCATTTTAGTGCTTGCAATTACTAAATAAGCTACCATGGCTCCAAAGAAAGCTCCTAGTGCCAAGCCTGTGGTAAAGAATATGAGAAATATGTACAGTGACAAAGTCTTGGGCCATTTTCGGGAAGTGTTAAAGAGACGCCAGAAACAGAGCTCTCTCCACAGTTACTTTGCGAGACAGAACTAGAGTGACTCAAGGTGGTCCTAGTGGCATTAAGAAACAGAGAAGAGAAGCAACCCCAGAGAAGCAATTGGTACCTGAGGTGTTGCTGGAAGGAGATTCCCCTTCCAAACTGTAAACAATCCAATATCTCTCCTCCTCCAGTCTCCCATACACTGGAAATATAAACACAAATGCAGTATAATGTGATCCTTTATTGACTACGTTTTGCCCACACAGTGGGCTTTTTCAAGTCACAAACAGAACTACCTGGGGTGGAAGGAACGCGAGTATTTATAGTCCGGTTCAGAATGCTGAGGTCAGGTGAAGAATGCTGCATCTGATGATGTACCGAGTGGGGTTATAGAGTCTAAAAACTTGGGTAGCTTGGAAAGGAGATTGGACAAATTTGTGAGCAGACCTTCTACAGTGTTCGTATGTGGGATAGCGATGAAGTAGTTTCTTGGCAAGTGGTTCAGCTATGTTATAGAAGCCACTATTCTGGTTGAAGTTGTCGGATATAGAAATAAGTGATGATTCCAGGATTATATTTCCATTGTGTTGGTATTTTATACCATTTACTCCCATACACTAAGAAGAATCTCCAATAAAGGTAAGTGTTATGCTGTTAATGTTTCATTCATCATTTCCCATTGTATTGTTTATGTACTATATGTATATTTCATCTAAAAAAATTTTTTGTTTTAATACTTTTGGGTGTCAGGAACGGATTAATTGTATTTACATTATTTCTTATGGGGAAAATTGATTCGCAAATCATAAATTTCGTTTATAATAACGACTCCAGGAACGGATTAATTACGAAAAACGAGGGACCACTGTATTTCATATTACTAATGAAAGGAAGGAACCTTGATACTATGACACTACAGTTTTAATTTAATAATAATTATTAAACTACAACATAATCCTTATTTTCAGATGTTGGGCAGAAGCAAGGGATGAGATAAAATATAACCTGGATGTTGGAGATTGGTTTATCCGCTCCAACTTGTTTAACCTTCAGCTACTGGATGAACATCTTGCAAGAACCCTTGAAGATCCTAGAGTACACTCCTATATCCCTTCTATCTTTGTGATGCAACTAGTCCAGGTAAGATGACATTATGTAAGCTAATTGTACTTAGGTTTTTATTGTTAAAGGAAAATGGTTCATTAGGTAACCTGATCATTTGGTTCATTCAGGTAAAAGGTTGAAAATTTTCCACAAAATGGCATTCATGTTAAGAAAATATGTAATATTTGATTGATTTTGAACATATTACTGAATATCAAAATTTTATTATTATTTTATTTTTATTTTTTTTATTATCACACTGGCCGATTCCCACCAAGGCAGGGTGGCCCGAAAAAGAAAAACTTTCACCATCATTCACTCCATCACTGTCTTGCCAGAAGGGTGCTTTACACTACAGTTTTTAAACTGCAACATTAACCCTTTGACTGTTGCAACCCCCAATCCTGAGGTGTCTCGTGGTGTCGCAAAATTTAAAAAAAAAAATTATTTTTTCTTACGAAATGATAGAGAATCTTTTCCCGATTGTAATGACACCAAAAAAACAAAATTTGATGGAAAACTGACGGAATTATGCTCTCGCGAAGTTAGCGACCTCGGCGCTGTTTACAAATCGGCAATTTCGCCCACTTTGAGTCCTATTTTCGGCTAATTCCATTGTGTCAGTCGCCCAAACTCATAGCTATTTCTTTAGAACTCCATTTTTTCTATCGATTGAGTACAAGAAACTGCCCATTTACAGATTTCAACTACCTAATAATGTGGTCAGAAATTTGCAATTTGGCCAATTTCATGAAAACTAAAAAATATGACAATTTCAAAATAAGGTCCAGAATGAACAATGCAGATATTCCTGGCTCTAAAATAACATTTTCTTTGTTCATCAGTCATGTCTCCAGGCCCCTCTGATATTACTCTTGCTTTCTATTTTGAATTTTTATTCAAACAAAAAATAGAAGACTTACTATTATGCAGACTACTGCAATACTGTAATAATTGTATAAATAACATCAATCCATTCATGACTGCATATTAGAATGGCTAGTTGGACATTTATTGGACAATGGCATCATTTGTTTACTTTTGAACATTGGCAAAAATCAAACATTTCCCCTACTTTGAGCTCTATTTCTAGGTTCTTTTTATAGTAAAATCAATCAAAATCACCTCTATTTCTATAATATGTTTTTTTTTTTTTTTTTAACAAGTCGGCCGTCTCCCACCGAGGCAGGGTGACCCAAAAAAGAAAGAAAATCCCCAAAAAGAAAATACTTTCATCATCATTCAACACTTTCACCACACTCACACATTATCACTGTTTTTGCAGAGGTGCTCAGAATACAACAGTCTAGAAGCATACACATATAAAGATACACAACATATCCCTCCAAACTGCCAATATCCCAAACCCCTCCTTTAAAGTGCAGGCATTGTACTTCCCATTTCCAGGACTCAAGTCCGAATATGTTTTCCATTCTATCAAATGAGACCAAGAAAACGAGAGTACAACCATAAATACTATACGAAAATAGACCACAAAGTCGGCATTTTAATTCAAAAAAACGGTCGGAGTTTTTTTTTTCTCATTATGCACTGCGTGCTCCAGGATTTTTTTTTATATGGTGCACACTGACCACACAGACCCATTCTCTCACATGTGGGCCTACCAGCTTTCTCCTGCTTGATTTGAAGCCGCTAGAATTTATGAGTATATATACGTCAAACACGGTACCTCGTAAGACGTATATATGCGGCCGCGACAGTCAAAGGGTTAACACCCCTTCTTCAGAGTGCAGGCACTGTACTTCCCATCTCCAGGACTCAAGTCCGGCCTGCCGGTTTCCCTGAACCCCTTCATAAATGTTACTTTGCTCACACTCCAACAGCACGTCAAGTATTAAAAACCATTTGTCTCCATTCACGCTCACGCATGCCTGCTGGAAGTCCAAGCCCCTCGCACACAAAACCTCCTTTACCCCCTCCCTCCAACCTTTCCTAGGCCGACCCCTACCCCGCCTTCCTTCCACTACAGACTGATACACTCTTGAAGTCATTCTGTTTCGCTTCATTCTCTCTACATGTCCGAACCACCTCAACAACCCTTCCTCAGCCCTCTGGACAACAGTTTTGGTAATCCCGCACCTCCTCCTAACTTCCAAACTACGAATTCTCTGCATTATATTCACACCACACATTGCCCTCAGACATGACATCTCCACTGCCTCCAGCCTTCTCCTCGCTGCAACATTCATCACCCCTGCTTCACACCCATATAAGAGCGTTGGTAAAACTATACTCTCATACATTCCCCTCTTTACCTCCAAGGACAAAGGACAAAGTTCTTTGTCTCCACAGACTCCTAAGTGCACCACTCACCCTTTTCCCCTCATCAATTCTATGATTCACCTCATCTTTCATAGACCCATCCGCTGACACGTCCACTCCCAAATATCTGAATACATTCACCTCCTCCATACTCTCTCCCTCCAATCTGATATCCAATCTTTCATCATATAATCTTTTTGTTATCCTCATAACCTTACTCTTTCCTGTATTCACCTTTAATTTTCTTCTTTTGCACACCCTACCAAATTCATCCACCAATCTCTGCAACTTCTCTTCAGAATCTCCCAAGAGCACAGTGTCATCAGCAAAGAGCAGCTGTGACAACTCCCACTTTGTGTGTGATTCTTTATCTTTTAACTCCACGCCTCTTGCCAAGACCCTCGCATTTACTTCTCTTACAACCCCATCTATAAATATATTAAACAACCACGGTGACATCACACATCCTTGTCTAAGGCCTACTTTTACTGGGAAATAATTTCCCTCTTTCCTACATACTCTAACTTGAGCCTCACTATCCTCGTATTTTTATTACATTGGTCATTTTCTCCAGTGTTGAGTGACCCCAAATAGGATATGCATTCACCATCACTCCTTCAATAGCTGTCTTGCTAGATGTGCATGGAAATCACTATTCAAATGACCCCTCCTATCCTTCAGAGTACAGGCGCTGCACTTCACCTCTGCCAGTTAAATGGTTTTTCTGAATTCCTTCATAAATTCTTCATTGAATTAAATTATATCTATAGTATATCATTTACTTTAAACCATTGTATGGCACTGGCTTCTACTGTCTAGTTTTACATTTTTTATTGCTCTTACCTCTGTGATTGGTTTTGAAAGTTTAACTACTCTTGCATCCTGTTCTTTGGCCACACTTCTCTGTTGATAATCTGTTCAACTCGGCTTTTGCTGTTGGCTACTTTTTGGCCCACATGGCCATCACAGTCTGGGTGATCTGGCACTTGGCACAGATAGAGATTCAGTTTTCTCTTAAGACTTCTACGTTTGTTCTGGAATTTTTGTAATTACTTGATTGATCATGCCGTGATGAGCTTTATCTCTTGTACCTATCTTCTAACCTTCAATTTACTGATCTGAATTTGTGCTCTTACAATTTTTTGATCCCTTTTGTAGATGCACTTTTGCTGTTGCTTTATCTCATTCCACTTTTCATTGCCAGTATTGCAGACATGGTTCCTTACATTTGTCTATTCTTCATTATGTTGTTTGCTGTGACTGTTACCTTTTGTTCTGCATTTTCTCTTCATAATTCAATCCTCCCAGCTTTAATATTAGTCTGGATGCATTTCTTTTGACTGTTTAGTTTCACTTTGTTTGGCTAGGTGAGAGGGGAAAGGGTTCCACAATGGTACTTCATATACAGTATTTGCATACTAGTGATGAAGAGTTACTTAGAGTATTTTATTATTTGCCGGCCCAACATATGCCACAAAGGTTATTTTATTTGTATTCTTCAGGACTTTCTTTACCTATTTCAGTGAAAGCACAAGCTATACTACTATCACAATAGCAATCATGAATAGACACTACTAGAAGTGTGGAAGAGAATTATTTATTTATTTTTTTTTTTTTTTTCAACAAGTCGGCCGTCTCCCACCGAGGCAGGGTGACCCAAAAAAGAAAGAAAATCCCCAAAAAGAAAATACTTTCATCATCATTCAACACTTTCACCACACTCGCACATTATCACTGTTTTTGCAGAGGTGCTCAGAATACAACAGTCTAGAAGCATACACATATAAAGATACACAACATATCCCTCCAAACTGCCAATATCCCAAACCCCTCCTTTAAAGTGTAGGCATTGTACTTCCCATTTCCAGGACTCAAGTCCGACTATATGAAAATAACCGGTTTCCCTGAATCCCTTCACTAAATATTACCCTGCTCACACTCCAACAGATCGTCAGGTCCCAAGTATCATTCGTCTCCATTCACTCCTATCTAACACGCTCATGCACGCTTGCTGGAAGTCCAAGCCCCTCACCCACAAAACCTCCTTTACCCCCTCTTTCCAACCCTTTCGAGGACGACCCCTACCCCTCTTTCCTTCCCCTATAGATTTATATGCTTTCCATGTCATTCTACTTTGATCCATTCTCTCTAAATGACCAAACCACCTCAACAACCCCTCTTCTGCCCTCTGACTAATGCTTTTATTAACTCCACACCTTCTCCTAATTTCCACACTCCGAATTTTCTGCATAATATTTACACCACACATTGCCCTTAGACAGGACATCTCCACTGCCTCCAACCGTCTCCTCGCTGCTGCATTTACCACCCAAGCTTCACATCCATATAAGAGTGTTGGTACTACTATACTTTCATACATTCCCTTCTTTGCCTCCATAGATAACGTTTTTTGACTCCACATATACCTCAACGCACCACTCACCTTTTTTCCCTCATCAATTCTATGATTAACCTCATCCTTCATAAATCCATCCGCCGACACGTCAACTCCCAAGTATCTGAAAACATTCACTTCTTCCATATGGAAGAAGTGAATGGAAGAGAATTAATTATGTGATAAATGGTTTAAAACCGACAAGTTGAAGATTGAGACACTTGTGCAACATATGGGAATCTTTATTGAAGAAACATTTCGCCACACAGTGGCTTCATCAATCCGATACAAATCGGAAAGGTGTAAGGAGAGGAGGAGTTTGAAATAATCAGTCCCTCATCTTGGAGTTGATGTATTCAGTCCATCAATCTTGTAGGAAGTACAGTGGACCCCCGCCTTACGATATTAATCTGTTCCTGAGAGCTCATCGTATGCCGAAATTATTGTAAGGCGAATTAATTTTTCCCGTAAGAAATAATGGAAATCAAATCAATCCGTTCCTGACACCCCAAAGTACGAAAAAAAAAAAATTTTACCAATAAACACAAACTGAAGAAGACATGCACAGTTAATACTCTACTAAGAATAGAATACATGACACTTACCTTTATTGAAGATCTGGTGATGATTGATGGGATGGGAGGAGGGGAGAGTGGAAGTTGTTATTGTTTAGAAGGGGAATCCCATTCCATTAGGACTTTAGGTAGCAAGTCCTTTTAATGCCACTAGAACCAGCTTGAGAGTAACTGGACCTCTGTCGCACAACATATCTGTCCATAGAACTCTGTACCTCTCGTTCCTTTATGATTTGTCTAAAGTGGCTCACAACATTGTCATTGTAAAAGTCACCAGCATGGCTTGCCATAGCTGTGTGAGGGCAATTTTCATCCATAAAGGTTTGCACTTCAAGCCACTTTGCACACATTTCCTTAATCTTTGAAGTAGACAACTTCTTCAATTTCTCTCTCCCCTCCTCCAAAGCAGTTTCCTCAGGTCTGGCCTCTTGCTGTTGAAGATGATCTTACAGCTCATCATTGTCCTCCTCCTCCTCCAACTCTTCCACATCCTCCCCAGTAACTTCCAACCCCAAGGACTTCCCCAATGCCACAATTGATTCCACAATTGGCATACGCTTCTCAGAGTTAGCCTCAAACCCTTCAAAATCCCTTTTGTCTACACATTGTGGCCACAGTTTCTTCCAAGCAGAGTTCAAGGTCCTCATAGTCACTCCCTCCCAAGCCTTACCTATAAGGTTTACACAAGTGAGGATACTAAAGTGATCTTTCCAAAACACACTTAAAGTCATTTGAGTGTCTGAGGTCACTTCAAAGCACTTTTGAAACATAGATTTTGTGTAGAGCTTTTTGAAGTCTGAAATGACCTGGTCCATGGGCTGCAGGAGAGGAGTGGTATTAGGAGGCAAAAACTTGACCTTAATGAAGCTCATGTCCCCAGAAAGTCACTCTGCCAAGTCTGAAGGATGACCAGGAGCATTGTCTGATACCAGGAGGCACTTAAGGTCCAATTTATTTTCCAGGAGGTAATTTTTCACAGTGGGGGCAAATGCATGGTGTAACCAGTCATAGAAAAAGTCCCTAATGATCCATGCCTTACTGTTTGCCCTCCACATCACACACAAATTAGCCTTGAGGACATTGTTTTGCCTGAATGCTATGGGAGTTTCAGAGTGATACACCAATAAAGGCTTCACTTTGCAATCACCACTAGCATTAGCACACATCAGAAGAGTAAGCCTGTCTTTCATAGGCTTATGTCATGGAAGTGCCTTTTCCTCCTGAGTAATGTAGGTCCTGTTTGCCATTTTCTTCCAAAACAGGCGTGTTTCGTCACAATTAAACACTTGTTCAGGTTTCAATTCTTCACTGTCTATGTACTCCTTGAATTCCTTCACATATTGTTCAGCCGCTTTTTGGTCCAAACTGGCAGCCTCACCATGCCTTATCACACTTTGTATGCCACTACGATTCTTAAATCTCTCAAACCAACCTTTGCTGGCCTTGAAATTCACTCACATCACCACTAGTTGCAGGCATTTTTCTAATTAAATCATGCAACTTCCTAGCCTTTTCACATATGATCGCTTGAGAGATGGTATCTCCTGCTATCTTTTTTTCATGTATCCACACCAATAACAGTCTCTCAATATCTTCGAGTACTTGCGATCTCTGTTTCGAAAACAAACTTGCACCTTTTGCAAGAACAGCTTCCTTGATTGCCGTTTTGTTGGCCACGATAGTAGTGATGGTTAATTGGGGTTTGGTATACAACCTGGCCAGCTCCGAGACACGCACTCCACTTTCGTACTTAGTAATTATCTCTTTCTTCATTTCCATAGTAATTTTCACCCTTTTTACCACAGGGTTGGCACTAGAAGCTTTTTTGGGGCCCATGGTGACTGATATGTGTTTTTCGTTTATCCACACCAATAACAGTCTCAACATCTTCGAGTACTTGTGATCTGTTTTTCGAAAACATACTTGCACCTTTCACAACAACAGCTTCCTTGATTGCCTTTCTGTTGGCCAAGATAGTAGCGATGGTTGATAGTTGCAGCTACAATCACTAAAAACACTGTGATAATATGAAATGTACCAAACGTATACGTGGATGCGACCGCACTGGCTGGCTTGTAAACACTGGCACCCACGGGGCAGCTGAGGCCACGCGTGGGACGCAACCCGGATGAATCGCGTGAGACGAGTTTTTTAGCGTGAGGCGAGGCAAAATTTTTGTGTTGAAATGTATCCTATGGTGGATTTAACGTAACGCAATGCCATCGTAAGGCAGGGGTCCACTGTACAGCACAGGGCCGTAGAAGTGGCTTACATACTGTAGTCAGGTGAGGCGAAGCATAAGTGTCTCAGTCTTCAACTTTGGGTTTTAAACCATTTATCACGAACTAGATACAAAGAATTCTTCAACACTTGTCCAGTTTTTGGATGAACACCTACTTCGACTAGTGGATGGTACCTTTATGACCCTGCCTCCTCCTCCTTCGCCTCACCTGACTACAGTATATAAGCCACTTCTATGGCCCTGTGCTGTACTTCCTACATGATTGATGGACTGAACACGTCAACTCCAGGCTGAGGGACTGATTACCTCAAACCCCTCCTCTCCTCACACCTTTCTGATTTGTATTGGACTGATGAAGCCACTGTGTGGCAAAACATTTCTTCAGTAAAGATTCCCATATGTTGCATAAGTGTTTCAATCGAGAATTAATTAAGGGGTACCATGAAAGGTATGGCAAACCAGGTATCATATTTCCTGAACCTGAATTAATATGCTTCTAGTAATGAGTTTGAGCCTGACCCATGGCCGAGCTCCGGGAGTAGAAAGGCTATCAAAACTCATCGAAGGTATATCAGAGGTATTGTAAGAGCACCTTCCCTAAGTCCCCTGGTACAGAAGTTCTGGAGTTTTCCCTGATCCAATATCATATCAGTTCCTCTTTCCCTTAGGGTAAAGGGTATTGATATACTATTAGAGTATGAGCAAGGTAATACCTGTGGAATGATTCAGGAAAACTGATTAGCCAAACTTGGGTTCTAGAGGTAGTTATTACAGTACCGACTTCGAAGGATATGTAAGGAGGTTGCAGTTAGGTGGATCATTTGAATTGTATAGATAATTCTGAAAAGACAGCTAGGGAATCAGTGATGAGAAATGTTCTTTCCTTTTTTGGGTGCACCTTTGCTTGATGGAAAATGATGTGTTAAAAAAAAAAATACTATATATTCTGGTGTCATGATTTTCTTCTGTTACATTATAAGCCATTTTCTTATTTCTTTTGCAGGTATACCTTATAGATGACCCAAGCAATAGTGTGTTAAGTGAAACTGACCTACAATTAACCCTGGAGGCCTTGGTGCGTATATGTCATTCTCGACAAGCTCCTGATGGTCTTGTTTCACTGATTGAGGCACTACGCATGAAGCATGACTTATTAAGCAGTGAACGTTTAACTGGAGGAAACAGCCTGAGTGGCTCTAATACTCCATTATCTGCAGGACCTAGTCTTCACTTTCATTCAGGTGTTACACAAGCCAGGGATTTTCAGGATCCACCAGCTTTACAAGAGAAAACTGAAGTATTATTGAGAGAATGGATTCAGATGTATCATTCTCCTACCGCAGGCCAGGGTTCTGCATCAGCTTTTCAGCATTTTGTCAAGCAAATGAATCTTCATGGAATCCTTAAAACTGATGATCTCATTACCAGGTAAATGATTTCACTATCTTGAGTATTAGTTTTCTTGAGTATTAGTTTCAGTAACATTACTGAATTATCAAGAGCATAAAAGAAACAAATCACTTACAAATTTTTACATACATCATCAAATTATATTTCACTTACAGATTTTTCCGCATTTGCATCAGCATGTGCAGAGATTTGTGTGTTCGTTCCATCTTGGAACAAGGCCAGGGCCCATCACCTACTTACGTACGAAGTAAATGTTTCCAGAACTTGGACGCATTTGTGCGGCTTATTGCCTTATTAGTCAAACACTCTGGTGAAGCTACCAACCCTACTACTAAGATAAATCTCCTCAATAAGGTAATTATGGAGAATGATGTCTGAATGTTTAAACATATTACACCTTCCTTTAGTTTTCAAATGGCATTGAACAGGATTGAATGGAAATAATTGTTGACAAATGTGACCTTTTAATTTATACTGTACTCACTCTTCATTTGCAAGAGATGCAAACTGAGGATGAATTTGCAGGTACTGAACTTATATTTAAGTAGGAGAACACATCGGCCAATATGTTAATAAAAAAGAAAAATAACAGGGGAGGCTTTTTAGAATCCCCTGTGGCTAACCTTTTACTCATAGTATTGGTTAAATATTTTATTTTATTTTGCTGTTTATTTATTTTTGGTAAAATAAGTCATCTGACTGACTTGTTTGATATGAGGGTGTAGATAATACATTGTTAGAAAGAATCATTGGAAGGATATTACCATCAAGTTGTATGTAATTTTTGCACTGGTAGGGTTGCTTGTCTTCACAAGCCAGTCAAATGTTGCAAATTACTGCTAATGTTCAATATACAGTGCACACAAGTGAATGTATGTGTACCATGATTTCGAGTTTTTTCTTTTTCTTTTTTTTTTTTAAGTAACATGTCGGCCATTTCCCACCAAGGCAGGGTGACCCAAAAAAGAAAGAAAAAACTTTCATCATCATTCAACACTTTCACCATCACTCATGCATAATCACTGTCTTTGCAGAAGTGCTAAAATACGACAATTTTGATGTCCCTCCAAACTGCCAATATCCCAAACCCCTCATTTAACCCTTGCAGGGTCCACAGGCCCTCTCAGAGACTTGTTCTCAGGGTTCCCCAAATTTCAAAAAAAAAAAAAAAAAAAAATTCGTATGAAAAGATAGAGAATCTTTTCCCGATCATAATGACACCAAAAGTATGAAATTTGATGGAAAACTTACGGAATTATGCTCTCGCAAAGTTAGCGGTCTCGACGATGTTTACGCATCGGCGATTTTCCCCAATTTGAGCCCTATTTTCGACCAATTCCAATGTACTGGTCGACAAAAATCACAACTATTTTGCTAGGACTCCATTTTTTCTATCGAATGAGTACAAGAAACCACCAATTTACCAATTTCAACTATCCAATACAGTGGTCAGAATTTAGCAATTTTGCCAATTTCACACAAATTTCAAAAGATGTCAATTTCCAAATAGGGTCCAGAATAAACAAGAAAGACATTCCTGTTACTAAAATAATATTTCCTCTGTTCATTAGTCACGTCCCCAGGCCCCTCTTACATTTCTTTTGCTTTCCACTTTGAATTTTTTTTCTCAAAAAAAAAAAAATAAGATTTGCTGTTATGCAGACTACTGCATTAGTGTAGAAATGGTATAAATAATATCGGCACACTTGTGAAAGAATATTAGACTCACCAGTTGATGTGTATTGGACGCTTAGCAAGATTTGTTTACTTTTGAACTTTGGTAAAAATCGAACATTTCTGCTACTTAGAGCTCAATTTCAAGGTACTTTTCATTGTAAAACCAGTCAAAATCATCTCAATTTCTGTAATATGTCTTCCATTCTATATAATGAGACCAAGAAAACTAGAATACAACAATAAATACCATATGAAAATATAGTGCAAAGTCGCTGTTTTAATCCAAAAACACGGTCAAAGTTTTTTTTTTTTTCTCATTACACACTGTGTGCTGCAGGATTTTCTTTTTATACTGCACACACTGACCACATAAACCCATTCTTTCATATGTAGTCCTACCAGCTTTCTCTCACTAGATTTGAAGGCGCTAGAATTTATGCATACTAGTACGTCATGGACACTGGCGCATAACCCGTACTAGTACGACCGAAACCCTGAAAGGGTTAAAGTACAGGCATTATACTTCCCATTTCCAGGACTCAAGTCCAGCTAACCAGTTTCCCTGATTTTTTTTTTTTTTTTTTTTTTTTTTTTTTTTTTTTTTCCCAACAAGTCGGTCGTCTCCCACCGAGGCAGGGTGACCCAAAAAAAAAAAAAAAATTAAGAGAGAAAATCCCCAAAAAGAAAATACTTTCATCATCATTCAACACTTTCACCACACTCACACATTATCACTGCTTTTGCAGAGGTGCTCAGAATACAACAGTTTAGAAGCATATACGTATAGAGGTACACAACACATCCCTCCAAACTGCCAATATCCCAAACCCCTCCTTTAAAGTGCAGGCATTGTACTTCCCTGAATCCCTTCACAAAATATTACCTTGCTCACACTCCAACAGCTCGTCAGGTCCCAAAAACCATTCGTCTCTATTCACTCCAATGTAACTTGCTCACGCACACTTGCTGGAAGTTTTTACCTCCTCCCTCCAACATTTTCAGGGATGACCCCTGCCCTGCCTTCCTTCCCCTACAGATTTATATGCTCTCCAAGTCATTCTACTTTGTTCCATTCTCTCTAAATGACCACACCTCCTCTTAAGACACGACATCTCCAGCCGCCTCCTAGCTACAGCAATTACAACCCATGCTTCACACCCTTAAAGGAGTGTTGGTACCACTATACTCTCATACATTCCCTTCTTTGCCTCCATGGATAATGTTCTTTGTCTCCACAGATACCTCAACACACCACTCATCTTTTTTTCCTTTATCATTTCTGTGGTTAACCTCATACTCCCTCCCTCCAATGTGATATCCAATTTTTCTTTATCTAAATCATTTGATACCCTAATCACCTTATTCTTATCTATGTTCACTTTCAACTTTCTTCCCTTACATATTATGATACATGCATATTATTTACTAATGACCTGTTGCTAAGAACATCAAATAGTAAGTGATGTATAGAGCCAATGAGGAAGAAGGAAAACACATTAATCATGAACAACCACTGTGAAAGAAATAGAGAACTTCTAAGTGCTTTTGTGATTTCTCACATTATTAAGGACCTGTCATGTGGATGTTTTACATATTGTGTTGTCAGCTGTTAACTGTGATCTTATTGCATAGTTAACTGTGTTTTAGATTTTAATTATTGAATTAACTGAATAAGAATTTTTAACCTATTTCAGCTCATTTGTAATGTAATATGGTCATGTAGCACAGGTGGTTTGGACATTTAGAAAGAATGGAACAAAGAATGATTTGGAGAGCGTATAAATCTGTAGCAGAAGGAAGGTGGGGTAGGGGTCGTCCTCGAAAAGGTTGGAGGGAGAGGGTAAAGGAGGTTTTGTGGGTGAGGGGCTTGGACTTCTAGCAAGCATGCGTGAGCATGTAAGGGAGGAGTGAATGGAGACAAATAGTTTTTGGGACCTGACGATCTGTTGGAGTGTGAGCTGGGTAATACTTTGTGGGGGGATTCAGGAAAACTGGTTAGCCGAACTTAGAGTCCTGGAAATGGGAAGTACAATGCCTGCACTTCAAAGGTGGTGTTTGAGACATTGGCAGTTTGGAGGAAATTCTAAACCGTCGTATCTGAGCTCCTCTGCAAAAACAGTGATTATGTATGAGTGATGGTGAAAGTGTTGAATGATGTAAGTATTTTTTCTTTCTTTTAGGTTTTTCTTTCTTTTTGGGTCACCCTGCCTAGGTGGGAAACGACCAATGTTTTAAAAAGAAAAATAGAAATCTATAAGATTAAAGTACGTATTAGTTTAGCCACAATTTTAGTATTCTATATATCACTATAATTTGGCTGTTGAGGTTTATTGACATAATGCAATATGGTACACTTCACATAAGTGCAGATTTAAGACATGGAACAATTTGCAGTGAATTGAAATATTTTTAATTTCTTTAATTTCTATTCTAGGTTTTGGGATTAGTTTGTGGCATCATGATTCATGATATTGAATCAAATGGCACAGAGTTTCAACAGTTGCCATATCATCGCATCCTTATTATGCTGTTCCTGGAACTCAATGCTCCTGAAGCTATCTTAGAATCAATCAACCTTCCGGTATGTGAAGTAAGCCAACCTAATTGTGGAGCAACACTTTGGAGGGTGTTCATAAACTGATGTGCATTTTTCGTAGGATCTTTTTGTGCTCAGTGTTTGTAGTGCATTCTTAATATTTCCATCTAGACTTACGATGGACACAATGAAATGATGCATCATCTTAATTTTTTGTTTACAAAATGTAAAGTATTGTGTTTATGAACAATACCCAGACTTTATTGTCCATAGTGATGCTCGTTTTTGTTTTCTGATTTTCTGTGTAATGTTACTTGTTTCATTACTTTGGTTTTTCTTCTTAATAGCTTTATTTTTGGTTACTCTTATTCCTTCAAGCTTTGTATTTTGTGTTACAGCTTAAATGGTGTTGCATCCAATCTGTTCTTTACTAATTAAAACATGTATTTAACGTAAGTTTTTTCATTCGGTCAAATTCCCAAATTTGAGAATCTTTATAACTCGGGATATTTATGCTTACTGAAGAAGACCTCTCCGCCTTGGTTATTTGTGAATTTTTTTCTGCACGTTTTTTGGGCTTGTTGCACGATCCCTTATGTGAAAACTAACAATTTTTCATTTAAAATGTGCTCATTGATTTTCTCTATACCCAGATCTTTCTTCTCTCTAGTTTTTCTTATGAATGTCAGTAATAACCAGATTAGTGATATTTACTTGAGATATCCCCTATTTAATTTTTTCAGAATGACCCCAGATCTCAAAAAATTAAATTAGCATAAAGATGATTTTTTTTTTTTTTTTTTTTTTTCTTCAAAAAAGTGGGCCCGGGTCTCCCCCAACCGAGGCGGGTAAACCCAAAAAAAAAAGGAAAACCCCCAAAAAAAAAAATTTAACTTTAAATCATCATTCAACACCCCACCCACTCACACATTATCACTTTTTTTGGCAGGGGTGCCTCAGAACACAACATTTTTAGAAGCATATACTTTTTAAAGATACAAAAAAATATCCCCCCAAACTACAAAATACCCCAAAACCCTTCCTTTTTTATTTCCCAAATTATAGATTCCCCAAGGACTCTAAGAATGAAAACTGCAAAAAAAATTTGTGGGTTCAGCTATCTATAAATTTTTTTTAAAGGTTTAAAAGTTATTTTAATGGGCTGCTTTGGGAAAAGGGTGTGACCCAAAGAAACCCTTTTTAAAGGGAATTCGGGGGGAAAACGGGTTTAAAGCCAGATTTTTAAACCCTTTCAGGGTCCAAGGCCAAAATCTGAAGGGGGGGCTCCAGTGCCCAAAAAAATTTAAAAAAAAAAAAAAAAAAAATTTTTTTAAAAAATTTAAAAGGACCCAAATTTTTGTAAAGGGTTTAATAAACAAAAAAAAAAAAAATCTGATCTTTCTTCCCCGGATAAAAAGTCCCAAAGGGAAGTTTGTAAAAAATAAATTTTGGTGGGGGGCCCCAACATGGGACGAATTCCACTTCCCGCGCATTCATTTTTGTGGTTTTAGTTTTTTTTTCTTTTTTTTTCCCAAATTTTTTTTTTCTTTTTCCTACTAACATTTGGGGCCTGGGAGACCAATACTGTATATAATGTATAATATATAAAAATCCTGTATTGAAACAAAAACCCCAACACTAAAGTTTTATCAAAATTAAATTGTTTACCACTGTTGTTTTTAAAATTAAACATGCACAAATATTGTATTTTATTAATGTTCTTCATATTTTTACTTATTTAAAATTTCACGGACATGGTTTTAAAAAAACTGCTGGAGCTTGGGGAAAAAATGTAAGGTGCACAGAGGAACCTTCATTCCTCCCCACAAAAAACCGAGTGTCTTTGCGTCTTTTTTTCCCGGGCGTTTTGTTTGTGCACGGGACAATGCATTCTTCTGAGAAAATTTCTTCTGAGTTAAAGGGAAGGGGTGTATTATGAAATGTCCCCTTCTTTTTCCTAAAAACGTTGGGTATATCCTGGGAATTCGGGGGGACCATTTTTTGTATTGCAGGTGTTGTTACCGGGGTATTTCTTTATGAGTTGTTGAAACAGACAAAAAAAATTTTAACCATACGGTGGTCTTTTGGGCCAGTCTTTTTTTTGGGTAATTTTATATGCATTGAGCTTTTAAAAAATGTCCATGAGATGGAAGAAAAAGTTTCTGTACCACTTGTAATCTTACAAACACAGTAAACCCAAAACCAACCCTGCATGTCACATTGTAAACCCAAAGGGCGCATGTTTTTTGTGTAAAAATTAAATTAAACTGCCGGGTTTTTGGGAATACGTTCTTTTGTCACTCGATAAAACTTTCCCACTGTCTTGCATTTCTTTACGGTAAAAAGGGGTTGTCAAAAAATGTGACATCTCGTTTTTTCATGCCCCCGAAATGCCATGTTTTTTTAAAATTGGGCCGAAAAACACCGGCGTCATCACCATGACACCTGGGGTTGGGGCCGGGGCCCAATATTTTTTACGATTAGAACGCACTGGGGCCACAAAAGTTTTGGTTCACTGGGCTTTAAAATTTCACTGGGTAATGGGTTGTGTCCCATTTTTATCAGTATAAAAAATTTATCCCCCTTTCCCAAAGAAAAGGGTCCCCATCAGTTTTTTCACTACGTCACCTGAGAAAACCCAAAAACCTTTTTTTGGTATTTTTCAATGTTTTACTCCCCCGTGTTTTTCAAAAATATCCAACACCGGGCCCCACTGTCACAATCACAGATTTCAAACATTTTTTATCCCAAAAGCAGTTCCTTTTTGCTTGGTTTTATACTGCTTGAAAGCGTTACCTTTGAAAAAAAATCAAAGACTATCAATTTACCAAGGGTTTTTGAATGGATAAAGTATATCCCGAACTTTTGTTTGAGTACATGAAAAAAATTTCTAATTTTGTAAAAACCCGTCACTTCTGTCAGGGCCCGGTTTTGTCAGAGAAGTGCTGGTCAGAGGGAAAGGCCCGGTCACAGACCGGGCCGCCCCGGGGGGTTTGACCCCCGGAACTCTCCCAGGTTTTTTAAAATTTTCCAGGTAATACGTAAGAGTAAGATAAACCCGTTCACTGGGATGGTTTCACTGAAAGGGCCGGGGTAGAAAATTTGCCAAATTTTGTGGACCAGTTTGCTTTTTTTTATTATGCTTTTAAAACGGGGGATGGCATAAAACATTTTTTGTTGCAAAAAGGGAAAACATTTCTGCAAAAGTCGTTTTCTTTCCCCCCTGTGTAGTCTTGACTGTGGTGATTAAAAATCGTTTTTTTTCCATGGTGTACTCAAAATACTTTTTTTACTTTCCCTGGCAATTAAATTTCCTTTAAAGGCTGGTCAAAGGGAATTTAATTTTAAAAAAATTCCCGTTCATTGGGCGTGGTTCCCAAAGGGGGCAAATAGGTAGAATTCCACTTTGGAGATCATCAAAATGGGGAGGGGTTGGGAACCCAAAAATTTGGGGTTTTGCTGCCAAACCCCATACGGGTTTTTGGTGGGGTTTTGGGGCACATAGGGGGGTTGTATGGGGGGTTGTGGTTTTGGCGGGTGGTGGCTGGACCTCGCTTTGTCCTTGAACTGAGAGTCGCAGGGGTGGGGGCCCCCCGTGGCCCGGGGAGTCAGCATGGCGGTTTCCACTTCCCAAAAACCCCCCACTACCCATCCACTGAAAAGGGCCTTTTGGTTATCCTGCCAATTTTTAGCCACATCATCGTCACTATCACTACCTTAAAAATGGTTTTAGGGGCCCCGGGATGTACTCCGGGATGTACTCCAATTCCCCCCGGGCACAAACATAGGGTACAATACCCCCAGCGCATGCGGCGGCGAACATTTCCGAAAGCTTCATGGTGAATATGATTCCTTTACTATCACTACTCGAATGATCGTTTTGAGCGCAATTAAAAACAAATCCACGTCACTTTCATGTCATTTTCTGAAATCAGAGGCCTGGCCACGCAAAAATATTAGTTTTCTTTGTGTTTAGGAACAACCGGGCCGTGGGGTCACGAGTGCCCAAAACCAGAGGTAGAAAGGTTTGAGGGATTTTCAGGGTTTTCTTTCCCCCTATTATCGATTTCCTGGGCATTCTTTTTGGTCACTAACTGATCAAAACCCTAGAATTCGTCTTCATTTCCACTTCCATGAGTGTCAGAACTACAGATAGGAAAAGGGGGAGTCCCAAAAATTTTTGGGGAGTTGAGAGTGAAATTGCGACGAGGCAAGGGTTTAAAAGGGTTTACTTTAGTCCCGGCCCTTCCCCAATGCTATGCAGGCGCCCCAGATTTTTTGTTTATGGCGCAAACCCCCCCGCGCAGACCCCTTTTTCCAATGTAGGCCTAATGAGGTTTTGCGCCCAAAAATTTTACAGAAATAGAATTTTGGCGTAGGGTCCGGTTTGGACATCCCGTTTAAAAGGGAGATATACGGGACGGACCTGAAAAGGGTTTTAAAAAAATTTTTATGCTAATTTTTTCTAGCTGTTTCTCTTTCCTCAAAATTCCAAAAATCATTCCCTTTTCCAACTTCATTTACCCTCATATACTCAAGTACCTTTGTGTGCCTTTTTGCCGTACGTCTTTTAAATTTCCCCCTTTTAACCTTTTAAACCCTCCCCTTTTTCCCTAACTTGGAAACCCCCCCTTTTCCCCCCCCCTCTTTTACCCCCCCCCATCCCGTCCCAAACCTAATACAAAACCAAAAACCCCCGGCCCCCCCCCCCCCCCAACCCCCAAATTTCAATTCCAATAAATTTCCTTTGCCCCGCCCCCTTTAATTTTTAAAATTGGCCGTTTGGAGGGGTTGGGTATTCTTTTTAATATGTTTTACTTTTAATTTATCTTCAAAAAAAGTTTTATTTTTTGGGGAATTTGTGTTTTTTGGGGTTTAAAATGCTGGGAAAGATGAAAGTAAATTTTTTTTTGGGGATTTTCTTTCTTTTTGGGTCACCCTGCCTCGGTGGGAGACGGCCGACTTGTTAAAAAAAAAAAAATCTTTCCAAAATGCTCTCCTTTAATTCATTCACATGCCCTTACCCACTGATTCTGGTCTCCTTGTACTTCATT